TATTTTTAATTTTTCAATTTAAAAGAAGTTTCAAACTGCTGGTTATGTGTTTGTCTTTTTTCTTTACACATCTACCAAAACTCAAAACATTTTGAAACGTGATATATTCATTCGAGGAACGCGTTTTCGTCCATAATTAGTGCTTCCCGAACAAAAGAAAAAAAATAAGATTTTCCACGAAGAATTGGACAGAGTTAAGCAGAAAGGAACCAACCCACATTCTGGAAAAAATTGAGTTATGAGTGGTATTGAACTCAACCACTGCTCTACTATCTATCGCCAAAAATTCAAAGTTTTTGTTGGACCAAATTTTGCAGAAATTGAACTTGAACTTAATCTTTTACATCGAGTCTTATGCAGGAGCCAAACTTTAAACCTCTTTTTCTCGGTTCGATCCCGATGTGGCTTGGTTCCTTTCTGTTTAACTCCGTCCAATTTAACCGACGGGTATTTTCTGTACTGCCCTGTGTGAGGCAACTTTCTCAGCAGAGAATCGTCACGCAGCAATCAGCGCCATCGAATCTATGGCCATCACTTTATCTATGGACATTTTATCGATAGATTCTCCCATCCAGGATGTAAGAACTATCGAAGTTCGATCTATCGCCGTGCGATTTGATGCGATATTGCGCAAGCCTCGCGGGCTCGACTTGTGGTGTCGGAGGCGGCGGCATGGGTGAGTGTCGGCCCCTCTTTGTTCGAATTTGGGGTCTCGGACGATAATGAACGGGTTCGATATCCCCCGTTTTGAAACGCAACCGGTGAGGCCACGAAGCTAACTGCACCGCGCTCGACTCAAGTTGCACCCAATTTAATTCTCTCACCTTTCTTAATGAGGGCATCTGGGTCAGCTCTGATTTTTATTTAAAGGTATCCTTCTGCGTTCGCCCTTCCCTCCCTTCCACCTCGTTCCTTCTTTACGTTATCCCTCACCACCCCCCTCCCCTTTACTCTCGAGGGTAACAGGTTTTAGCACAACGCACGGACGGATGAAACTTTGATATGAGCCGCAATAGTCCGTTTATAGTTTCAGTCAACCTCAGGCAGGAACGCAAAGTTGTATGGAACTTTTTAAAATAAAATTTCATGTTTTTTTTTTTTTTGAAACTTCTGCCATAGACTCGGTATGTCATAAAACGCTTACATGGTAAATTTTAATTTTGAAAATTGTTTGAAAAAAAAATGAGTCAAATTTTGAATTTTCCTGTGGAGTTCTTGGATAGTTGTTGCGGGTTGCATAAGCAGCCCCTAAAAAATTGATGACATTTCATGGAAAATGAAACCTGTTAGCTACATGAAATTTCATGTTTCATCTCCACCTCCTCCTCCGGTTGATAAGAAAACACTGTTAATTACTCGCTCAAGACAAGGTGCGAAAATTTAAACGCAAAACCCTTACCCTTAAAATCCACCATGAAATTTACTCATAAAAGACACAAATTTAATAAGTTTAAAAATGAAGCACTCTTTCTCTTCTCTGAAACAAGTTTCCAGGATAACATAGAGATTATTTCAAGAACTGATTGTTATCACAGTTGATTTATTCCGACCTTCGAATGAAATACACGCCTTTGATTGACTGCAAGTACGTAAAGTCCGCATTGTGAATATTGAAAATTTACCTGTATTTTGATTGCAGACTTCCGAAATTTTTAATCTCCTAGATTCTTTGAGAGAATATTACCAGAAATGTTTACACGAAATATTGAAAGGACAAACGATACCTAATCATACGAATTTGCGCTAGATGAATAATCAGTCATCCTTCTCACCCGAGACCAACTTAAAAATAGCTTAATTCTGAAAGCACGTAACCCGGTTACAACGTTTCAAATTCTTTGTTTTTGATATTCTTTTAAAGAATAAAAGTAACAAATATGTATAACTCGAAAATTCTACGGAGTAGAACTTAGAAGGGAAAGACATTGAGTAAAATTTCAAGAAATAATATCTTGGTTTTTTTTTTTTTTTTTTTTTTTTTTTTTTTTTTTTTTAATAAAATACTAGAGGAAATCTGCAACTTAGCATTATGAGTTTTCAAATTCTAGTCATCATAAGCGTTTTTGCATTTCCGACATCGTTAAGTTTTCTCTATAGTATGACTATAGAGCAACACTGGATGGGAGTCCATCGAAATATGGTTCGGCTAATAATTGAAAGGAGATATCAGACTCCCAAAAAAACTTGGGAAACAAACGTTCAGCATTTATGCATCGTGCTGTGGTTTAAAACCTACGACATGAATAAAACATGTAACTGAAAAAAATATTCAATTGTAGTTGTGTTTCGCAAACTAGTCGAGTATTATTTCATCAAAACTACATTACTAGTACTGGAGGACTATATCGACGGTGAATTTACTAGACTACGTACCTCGAATTACGGCGTTGCAAAATTCCTGTCAAACTATTATTTTTTAAATGAAAAACTACGTCAATATTTGAATTTTTTGATGATTTTTTTTGTGATTTTTTTTTTTTTCAGTGCGAAGAATACTCAGTGAAAACTTCAAGAAGTGATATTGACTTATTCTTCTTCAAAGCAATAAAATGGGAGCGGAGATTTTTAAACACCGCAAACGAGATAGGTACGTGGTCTGGTTGTTTTACTTTTCGCTGATTAATTCTGTATGTGACATAAAAAAGTTTTAAAATTGATAATATGATTTCATGGTATAGTCTATACCAATAATTTATAATAGTCACCTATAATGAAATTTTCCAATGCACCGTGTTCATTTTTTCCCTCGCGGACACATTTTTTTTAATTTTAAAATTTCGCACGATGGCACGCAATATATTCCCGTAGCTGCTACTTTTTCGTTTTTGCTTATGGAAGAGGCAATGCGCGTTTCAATTATCTAGGTTTTAACAGGTTGATGTCAACGATGCCTTATTTTTCATCAATTAGATAAAGGACGGATTCCACCGTCGACCGCGAGAATAGTTCACATTCGAATGAAAAATTCCAAAGGTCGATCATAAATTGATATTTTAAAAACAAGTTTAGTTTAATTTTCAGGATAGCAGAGACATTTTTTTTCATATTCATGATTTTTTGGAGGCTTCATTATTTGTGACGGGCGGATTCCTATGCAACAACGTCAAAATTCGAAGAGGAGAATTTTGAGTCGAAGGAGGCAAGAAAAAAGGCGGCGTCTCGAATTAAGGGCTCACTTTTTAATGTCAATCAAAACAACATAATTTTTTGTCAAAGCGAACAATTTTCAGACTGTGTGTAGACGTGTTCTTTGCTTGTTAAATAAAGAGCTCAGCAAATTGTGTCGCTTGAAATTTAAGTACAAAGATGTCTTCTGTTGGTTACAGTTTCTTTTAAATCATCTAGAGTTGAAATTAGATATCATTTTCAGTAGAGTAGTTGCAGCGAATTTTCGAGAAATACAAAAGAGTGAAAGATTTTTAAAGTAACTTTTACTTTTCAACCTTTAGTGCACAATTTTCTTGTTAAAGATATTTCGCGACCTCAATGACAACGTTTTATAATTTTTATGGCCAACTCGTTCACTTGATTTTCCGTGTCATTACGTTGTGGTGAAAAGTTGAACTTCGATCCTTCAATAATAAGAAATAGGATGATCATGATTGATAGGGTTATATTTTCCGTCCGCTTTGACCTCTAAAACCCAACGCTTGAAGGCATTTTTCTTCGCATTTTTTTGTAGTTTGTAGGCACTAAATTTTTAATCAAAAACTCGTTCATCCCAGAAAAACTGTCAATATCTTCATTTCACATGAAGAAATATGACAAAAAAAAAAAACTAGATGAAAAATGCGATTTCATATCTCTCACACTAACTTCCTTTCTTTTTTTGGCCAAGAAATGAATGTCTCTCAAAATTTGGTTAACATTTTTATTTCAAACAAACAGATGTAATATTATCATAATAAAATTATCTGTGCTCTATGTGTAAAATATGTACGTTAACATTTACGAGACACGTGTCAGGTGACGTAATTAGACTCTTTGGAAATGTTTCCAGAAAGGTGCCAAGATCTGTTCACACGAATTCAATATTTCGCGGATAAAAATGGTATACTTTTGGTCAATTTTTTGTCTTTTATAAATGGCTGGATGCGGAAAATAATTAATCTCGTGATATCTACTATGCAATGTTTTACATAAGGTTGTACTCTAATTTTTCAACTTTTTTAGATGGCCTCCTTTCCACATTAAACAGAAAATTAAGATTTAGCGAGTTTTAGAGCATGATGATATATTTGAAGGTTAAAACACTGCTTATTCTTTTCATTTTTTTCAAAATCAATCCAAATTAAATGCTTGACATTGCTTTTAATAGACCCTGATGATTGTTTTTTATTTACTGTTGTTTCTTCATATTTCTCTACAAAAGAATGTATAGAGATGTAAAAGCACAACTCTTTTTCGGAGACTTATTAAGTTTGCTTAATTTCCCCTGAAACGAACAGAAATAGTGTCGAATAGTGTGTGAACAAGCAAAATAATTTTACTTGTTTGAGAGTCTTACCTACATACTTATTTTCTTGTTTTAAATACTTGTTATACATTTCAGATGATGCGTTAACTTGTTTATTAGAATGTATTTTAATGAATCAGCCCCCTTTTTTTCCTCTGATGGTTATCCACATTCATCTGTGACCTTTCTCCCAAGGTCCACATTTTCGGTGCTTTTATGTGTCCACCTCATAGGTACCTCAAAAGATTAAAAAAGAATAAATATGATGGCCAAATAAACTGGCTGCAAGATAATATAAAAATAAAAGACAGTCAATTTTTTTTTTCTGCGTTTCGAAGAGTTTCTCCAAGATCCAACTATACCGCAGCAAAAAACCGGACGACTTTGCAATACTGAGTTTGAGCCAGGACTACTTAATAATTTACTCTCGCCGCAACCTTTCTCATATCAGTGATCGTCCATCACCACACTACCACAGCCACCTCATGCAGATAGTAAAAATTCGATTTAAAAAAAAATATTTAAAACATATTTCAGAACACACCTTTATTCGTTTTTTGGACAGTGCTCCTCGCTTTCAAACTGCGTTCTATTCCAATCGGATGACCTGATAAATGGTTAACATACGAGGATAATGCACTAGCCCGTCGCGAATGACACGAATCAGAACCGGAAAAAAACAAGGGACAATTGAAATCAGCTCGTCTGAGACACTATTTTTTTCTTATCTTGATAGTCAAACTACAATTTGTTCATTCACTTCCGCGGCAGTTTAGATACCGACATGACGCACAATTATCAAGCTCAGAATTAAAAAGCAACGCACGGAGCAATTTTCGATTGATGCAAAATTAAAATTTTGCAAATAGGAATATCCAATAGACCAGGTGAGCGCCAACTAATGGATTATAATACCGTTCCGACAAACAGGACTTCCTGGCACGCAAATTTTCCGATTGATATTAGATCTGAAAATCCAAGAACGGAAACGTCTGACACGCGAATTTTCCGATTGATATTAGTTCTGGAAATCCAAGAACGGAAACGTTATATGGGAGGAAAACCACATAAGGAAAAAAGGGTGTAAAGGGGTTCAAGAGAGGAAAGCCCGAGATGGAGGTCTTGGCGGCGCGGAGTGATTAATTAGGAACGGAAAGGTGAGTGCCGGAGGGCGGAAGGGTGAAAATTCGGGCGGGCGAAGGGCGCGAAAAGGGACGCGGGAGACCACGTGGAGCCGTCGGGAGCGGAGCGCGCGGCGCGGCGTGAGGATCGCGCTGGAGCCGTATAGGGATACTGATATACTCGGCCATTTTTGCCGGCTCATAACAAGATTTACGGACGGAAGGTGGGCAAGCTCCCCGGCTGGGAGGGAACTAAGCGACACGAGGGCCGCCGTGGAGGGGGGCCGACCGCACCGCACCGCGCCGCAGAGAAGCAGAAGAGGCTGCTCCGGAGCCGGAACCCAGGGGCACCCACCGCCGAGCGGCGCAGCTCCCAGCCCCGAGCCGCAAGAATAGAGATATTAAACGGTATTAACGTTTTGTTGACAGACCCCACTCGCGTTGTCCCTCGCGGTCGCCCTCCGCCGCGGCTGCGTCGCCGAGAAAGACCCCCCCGAGTTACGACTTTCGCCGCGGCGCCCGACCGTCCCCGAGCCCTGGGAACACCATCCAGGGCCTGGAGTCCCTTCGTACGAGAGGAAAGACGATACGAATCCATCCCTGATTGGTTCCCGTATATCGGGTACTCTATGATTGCCTTTACAGTGTCAACTGAGAGTAAAGACGATACGAATCCATCCCTGATTGGTTCCCGTATATTGGGTACTCTATGATTGCCTTTACAGTGTCAACTGAGAGTAAAGACGATTAGAATCCATCCCTGATTGGTTCCCGTATATCGGGTACTCTATGATTGCCTTTACAGTGTCAACTGAGAGTAAAGACGATACGAATCCATCCCTGATTGGTTCCCGTATATTGGGTACTCTATGATTGCCTTTACAGTGTCAACTGAGAGTAATGACGATACGAATCCATCCCTGATTGGTCCCCGTGTATTGGGTACTCTATGATCGCCTTTACAGTGTCAACTGAGAGTGAAGACGATACGAATCCATCCCTGATTGGTCCTCGTGTATTGGGTACTCTATGATTGCCTTTACAGTGTCAACTGAGAGTAAAGACGATTAGAATCCATCCCTGATTGGTTCCCGTGTATCGGGTATTCCATGATTGCCTTTACAGTGTCAACTGAAAGTAAAGACGATACGAATCCATCCCTGATTGATTCCCGTATATTGGGCACTCTATGATTGCCTTTACAGTGTCACGAACGGGAATAAAGATTACACTTTCAACAACTGCAAATATTATGAACTGGAATGGACCGGGGAATGGAGATGTTGCATGTGTAAGGAATTTGCGATTTGACTGTTGATTCTTATGTAAAAGTTTGTGGGAAACGCGATGGTGCCACTGCTTTTCTTTGAAATTAAGTCCCAAGCTCAAGAAAAGCTCTCAAGTTGAGGCCAAAATGGAGGGGATACCCTGGTAAAAATTGACAGTAAAATCTGTGTTCCAAAATACCATAGACCTACAGCCGGCTGCAAGATTTCGAATAGCTTCTATAGCCGGCTACACAATTTCTTATAGCCTTTTATAGCCGATGGCGATTAAGCAACAGCCAGGCGATAAAGTGTATGCTAAGCATCACTAATTACGGATGCTAGGACTTAGTGAATTTTTGGAATACTGCTCTCTTTTTGGGCCGTAGTATCTTGATTTACTTTGCGAGGAAAGCTCCGTACTTTTGATGGGTGCCTGACTAATTAACTACTAGAGCGCCTTCAGTTTCGTATGATACTGTTCAATACCTCTGGTGTGAAATAGTTGCTTCAAGCGCCGTGACGCGCTGCGGCGCGGCAGGCGGACAGCCAGCGCGAAACGCGCATTGGCGCCTACAAACCTAACAGGGATACTTCACGCGTTGCGCAATGCGTGAAGTATCCCTGTTAGGTTTGTAGGCGCCAGTGCGTCGCCGCTCCGCTTTGTGGTAGGCTCTAATATTTAATCTGGCGGAGTCAGAGTTATTCAACTCATGATTTTGAAATGTTTGCACATCCTGTAAGGATTATTCTCATTTTAATTGATGAAAAAAATATGTATTAAAGGAAAATTTAATGTGTGTTTTGTCAATATTAAGGTGGTTCCGTATCAAACTTAATGATTTCCAAAGCACACGAATTTCTACACAATTTCTTATAGCCTTTTATAATCGATGGCGAAAAAGCAACAGCCAGGCGATAAAGTTAGTGTAATGCCCGGCTATAGGAACTATAGCCCGGCTGCATAATTTTTTATCTCTCCGTATAGCCCGGCCGTATGATTTTCTCCGCATTCTACAGCCAGCTATATGATTTTCTGTAGCCTTCTTTAGCCGGCTATAAGAATTCCTATGGTATTTTGAAACGCAGCTCTTATCGCCAATTTTTACCAGGGTATCCCACGCTATCCTGAGAGTCCACCTCTACATCAAGACAAAATCTCCATGCAAAGATAGGAAGCAAATACATTAGCAGGGTTGCCGTGTTTTCAGCTTTAGAGTCCCAAATAAAGTGGCAGCCCTGCCAATGTATTTGCTCCCTAACTTTGCATGGAGAGTTTTTCTTAATGTAGAGGTGGACTCTCAAGATAGCGTAGACTCTCAGGCTATCCCCTCCATTTTGGCCTCAACTTGAGAGCTTTTTTGAGCTTGGTAGTTGATTTCAGAGAAAACCGGTGGAGAAAATCGTGTTTCTCGCGAACTTTTACTTAAGAGTCAACGGTCAAACCGCAAATTCCTCACACATGCAACATCTTCATTATGCCGAATGGAATTTCTGATCAGTTAGCTATGGTTTGGAAGCGTTTAACAATGTTTTTAAAAGTCTGGACTCTAGATCCAATGTGTTTTTTTTTCCAGTGTTTATAGGATTGCTAGAAAAATCAAGTTTTTTTTTACTGGGCTTTAAGCGATTACGCTCTTCTTCATCAATTCCGCTCAGTTCTGGTCGCAAATTACGAAACGTCGCGCTCATTCTCATCAGTTCGCCTTCAATAAGCTGGTAGGCAATGTGCGTGACTCAGGAGCAGTAATAGTTGCTTGTAGCATTTTGCGCGATTCATCAATTTCAGTTCTGGTGCAAGGGCGACTTAATAAAATTACTCACACTGTTGCGCGCTCATTCTCACCAGTTCGCCTTCAAGAAGCTGATAGGCAATGTGAGCGGCTTGGAAGCAGTGATAATTGCTCGGAACAGTTTGAGTATTTCGTCGGATTCGCGGTTGAGCGGGTTATTAGAAGAAGAGTGTATAATCTCTAATTAAGCAATTAAGGGATGTGAATGTGAGCTCCACGCCAGCTCCGAAAAAAAACGAGGGAAATGGACTGAATATTATCACAATCGATAATAAACATTCTCTCGCAAAGTATTGAGTTGCACCAGAGCAGTGCAAGAAAATGTAAAAATGAATTTTAGAGAATATTCGGCAAGATCATGTGAAATAAATGTTATAAAATAATTGATTCATGATCATCAAAAAAACCATGAGAAATTTTTCGAGTGATTTTAAGCCAACGGATTTTTCGACTGTATACTTTTTTTACTTTAAAAACTAACTTAGACTCATCAGAATCCCTTGCATATTTTATGCTGAAAATTCCATTTTTTTTAAAAAAAAAATGTCATAAGATGTCGTGTGATGCCATAGTTCCGTTTGATAGAACGTAAAATCCCGCTTTTCCATTTCTCAAAAAGGAATCACGCCCACTTTTGCATTGTTTCTTATAAAGCTTTCTATGGGACACCCCATTTTTACTTTTTCGTCTATGGTTCCGTTTGGTGGAAATACGTCCAATCAGCAGTGGAGACTCTGACACGCCGCAACCAAGAAATGCCCTTTCTGCCCTAACGCCTTAGTTACGTTCTTTGGTCCGGAGAACGGCGCGGCGTCATCTCCGACGAATCCGCAAGAGTGCGCTCCGGTAGGTAGGACTTTTCCTGAATGAGTGCTATCTCTGAATCTGTGGGGTTGCATGAATGAAAAATTGTTACTCATTACCATATGAAAAATATGAAGATGAGGCATCCGCGGCGTGGTGCGATGCTCCAGCCCGAGCACTAGGAATAATGAAGGCAGTGGAAGATGGTTGGAAATAAAACCAGTTGCTAAGTAATGGCTCGCCTACGCGTTAGCAACTGACTGGTTCCAGGTTGCGCTGCCTGCGGTAGGCACTATCGAACCAGTAATCTCGATGAATGGCCGGTTCCACGATCTAGCGACGTGCTCGTTTGAGCCACCACTTGAATTATGACGAATAAACAGAAATTTAACGATGTTGAAAATTTTGAAGTGAGCTGAGGTGAGGTCTCGCAGCAATGTCGGATTTTGGGCATCCTCCTGGCTCCGATTGTCGAACTTCGTATCATATATGTCGCAAGTAAAGAGTCCAATCGGACAGTTATATGCCTAGGCAGATTTTCAAATTTGGACAGTTTACGAAATTTTTTTAAATTCATGGCGAAGATCTCGCGGTTTTTTTATGTTTTGAAAAAATGACTCGTCAAATCTACGAACTCTCCATGTTCCTGCCTTTCCAAGTGATCCTCATATATTTGAAAGTAAAACTTGTAGGAATTCTGTTTTCTATGACTCTCTGAAAATTTCAAGATAAGTGTCGTACAGGAGCTAAAACTGGTTTAAAATACTATTTTAGGATGTCACTATGTTGTTGCATATTGCACATTTTTTTAAAATTTTATCGGCACTACACTAATTATTTGATTAACTTCAAACTTTTTTGAAAACCGATTATGTATAATAGGTTTTCAAAAAAGTTTTAAGTTAATCAAATAATATTTTAGGATGCACATTTTTACAGATAGTTTTTTCTCTCGAGAGCAAAGAATTATATTTTGTCTAAAATTTAGAAAACAATTTTTATAATAATAGACCTTTTATATACTTTTTAACCACGTTCCGTACTTTTGAACTCTCCTGTCGTTCCTTTCAGTACAGTTTCGGAGAGCAAATATACTATTTATTTTTGTACGATAAAAATACAAGTTGAATTGATAGACATTAATTCAGTTTGGAGTATGACGGTAGAAACAGGAGTGGAGTTTCATTCGCCGGTGGTTTTTCCTAAGAAATCCACGGACATCACAGCCTAGTCAAATGCTATGCCGTGAGCAGTCATTCATTCAACTTTTGTCGGTTTTTATTCTTCCCGTTTCTTTTATTAGCTTTGATGATGATAGTTTAACTGACACGATAAGAAATTCAGGAGCTTTTATGATGCGATTTTATCTCCGAGGCAGTAATTAAATGGCGTTTTTGCTGTTCACT